CCGTATAAACATGGGTTCAGATTTACATTATGGTAAACAAAGAGTAGAATTCTTCACAGAAAGTCAAGATCATTATGAAAGATGGTAATCAGCTTTGAAAAGGTACTGTATTCTAACCAAATTTAACAAAAAATACAAACTTATATGTAAACATAAATTAAATGAACCTTATCCATCATGTACTTATAAAGCTTAAAGAAATTCTGATGGACTATTCTTTTAAATTAGAATCATTGAAAAGAGTTAACTAGATGATCCAGGCTTAGTCTTAAATGATATAGCTATTTTAAGAAGAGTTGATCATGTTTATGTGTAAAGATTGTAAGAAGTCTATGAAGATTAAGTTTACCTATATATTGTATATGATCAATATGCTGGAAGAGAATAAAAATTTTTACTTCCCCAATTGTTATAGACTAGTGAAAAAGTAGTAGCAGAATTACTTTATAAATTATTATTGGGATTACATCACATACATAGTAAAGGAGTTTTCCATAGAGATATAAAATTTGACAATATTTTCAACAGATTCCCTGATTGTATTACTGATTGCTGTCTTGTCAATTTTTCAAGTGCTGATTTTCATGAAAATAAAATGCATAGAAGAATAGGCACTCCAGGATTTATGGCTCCAGAAATCTTCAAAACCAAATAATATGATTAATAAATTGATGTATTCTCTTTAGGAGTGATATTTTATTATATTGTGTTTGGTAAGATGCCCTTCGGGACCGATTTAAATGAAGTACATTTTATAATTTAAGTAGAGAGGTGCTTTCAAAAAATGAATAAGGAGACATTGATTATCCAGAATTCTGTAGAATCTCTATCAGTGGTCTTTAATTGATGAAGCTAATGTTACAAAAGGATCCCTAAAAAAGATGCACTTCTTTTTAAGCTTTAAATCATCACTGGTTTATAAATTTAAAAATAAGAGATTTATTGGGAAAACCTAGTGTGATGATGAATCAAATGAAAATGGGATCAGGACTTAATTTATCAACAATTTTGGAAAAATCTGATATGATAGATAATTCAAATATGTCAATTGCTATCACTCCTAGAGGTGTTATTAAGAAAAGCTAAATGTCAAGATCCAAATCTACAGATATAAATATTTTGGATTAAGAATTTATTTATGAGACTGTTGCTGATAAAATGAAATGCTTATCAAACACTATCCCTCAACCATCTAGAATTAAGCACAAATAAAATAAACTGTAAATGTAAAAATGAATTAAATAGAGTTATCATACTATTTGCTTTTTAGATTTCAGTTATTCTTTCAAAAATTATAAAAAATTTAAAAACATATTATGGCTTAGACCTCAAAAGTACTTATTTTTTTAATTCCTAATCGCTGTATTTTCGTATTTTTTAGGTTTTCTTTTTCCTGTCATTTTATCTGATGATCTAAATCTCACCTTCTTTGAATATAAACTCTATCCATCATTACTTTAAAAATACATCTTACCATGGGATTAAGGCATTTTTATATCCCTTTCAAAGGTGAAATGAAAAAATTTGATTTTTTATTCGTTTTCTACAATTATGATTATTCATTTTTTCTATAATTGCTATAATTCTCAGCTACGACCTAAGACTAGCATTCTATTATTGATTCCATTTGCGAATTTTTGCAAATTTCTATAGAATTGTTTTCACTAGAGGCCCGCAGACATAAATTTTCAGAACTAATTTCAGCAAATTATAGAGTTTCGTTTTGTAATTCGAAATTAAAACTCTACTAGAAGAAGTCTTCTTCAAATCTATCCATATTTTCTTGAAGATTGTTGGTATATTATATAAACGTTAATAAAGTAAATATGATTGACTAAAAATATTAAATAAATTAGAATCTTTACAATACAGGTAGATTTTAAACTCATTTATTTAAGTTTAATATTCGTCTAGATTTTCAAATTTAAGTTGACTTAAATTTTAAAAACAAAACTATGCATAAGCTAGAATATTAACTTATGTTTAGATTAAGATAATTAAGATAATACGAAAAATTAATTTTATAAATCTTAAAGTGAAATATCAGAGTAATTTTAATTTATTATGATCGTCGTTAAAGACCATTGAATTTAGAATTAGCAAGAATTATTATTGGAGATAAATTACTAAAATATAAATTATATATTATTTTCTGTCAATTTTGATAATTAGTCAAAATATTTATTTTTTAAGAAGGGTATATTGATTTTTAAAAAAGTCAGTAATTTCTTATTCTTCAATACAATATTTTTTTATTAAATAAAATCCTGTAATGAATTTAAATCACTCAACTTCTTAAATTAGGTACTAAAATGTAAGATTGCTATAAATTACTACGGCATACTTTGAATATTCAGCAATTTAAAAATCAAATAAGAGAGAAGTAGTATTAAAAATACAAAATTCTATGAATTCTAATGTTTTACAAGAAGAAACTGCAAAATTGATACAAGTTTAAGACGTAGAAGGCATACCTGAAGTAATAGATTATGGTAATAATAATGATTAAAGGTATTCTTGTTTTTAAGCATAGATATTTTTTGGCGACTTAAACTTTAGGTCCTTCTTTTAGTTAGATTATGAAAATAAATGGATAATTATCATTAAAAAATGTGCTTTTGATTGGCATTTAACTAATAAAACTTTTATAAAAATTGCATGATAAGAAATTTATTTTGAGCAATATAATACCTTGCAATTTTTGTTTTGGAGCTGAGCTGGAAGATAAATTAATTTATTTAAAGGACTTAACATTTTTATAAAGCAAAGAGTGCAATATTAAACTTTTATAGTTTCCATTCAAAGAGTGTAATTTTATAAGTCCAGTACTTAATATTCATAAAGGGCCGAGTTAGATTGATGATCTTTATAGTTTGGCATACTTATTAATATACCTAATTAATGGTAATTTAAAATATCTATCATTAATAGGAACCTTACCTTGGTAATAAATTGATCAATTGATCAGCGAAAAATAATTTTAAGAATTATAAAAGTATAAATTAAAAGTTACTTTTGATTAATAATTTTTGGATTAACAATCATCTGTTTTTGGAGAATGGTTTAAGTATATAAGTACGTTAAAATAAAGCTAACATCCAAATTATAATTATTTAAAAAATATTCTAATTTCTAAAATTTATGAAAATGGATGGAAACTTAATGATTAAATTGAATATAAAAATGAATAAGCGATTCATAGTTCTAAATCAATTGTATCTATAAAAAGCAGAAGCAGAGGAACTTCTATAACTAAGACTCCCAATTAAAGAATGATCGAAACATTGAGCCCGATATTGGAAGTTGATAAAGAATTCGAGTTAGCTCAGTCAGCTTAAAAGCAAAATGAAGAATTATTTATTTTTTAAAAGTTTTAGAACGTAAGAAAATTAATAGAAGATTAATAACAGACTGAAAATAACTTAAGTTTTACTTCAATTGGATAGAATGAATGTGAGATGTGGAAGAAACTGGAGAAACTAGAAAACTTATCAAGGCCAATTTATTTGATGAATAAATTTGAGAAAATATGAAATGATACTTTATTATTATGACTTGTATTACTAATTATATAATTGATAATTGTGCAAAAGATTTAAAAATGAGTTTATTGATATTAAAACTTTATTTATATATTAATAATTCTGTCTTGATCACTCTTATTGCAATTATTAATATAATTATTGTTATTATTACTATGAAAATTAATTATCTTCTTCACCCTAAAATATTAAATTTCTATACCACTTCAGTATTTAGAGGAGTATCACTAACAATATGATTATTTTAAGTAGTGACTTCATATTTATTGGGATTGTGAGGGGATTTTTCAACAGGTGCAGCAAGTTTCATGTCAGCCAGAGCATTTTTTAATTGGTCTAATTGCTATTATTAATCTTCATCTTCCTAAGTTTGTTCAAGCTCTTTTTAAAATTCCTCACTATTTAAGTCTATTAATGAGCAATTACCCTATTTGAGGTGGGCTCTCTACCGGAAATAAAGGCTTAGTTCCATCAGGATTCCAAGGTCCAATATTTAATGACAAAGCATCAGTATTTTCACATTTTGAATTACCACCCAGAAAATCAGGTAAATTATCAATATCTATATGTTTTAACAATTCGTCTTTATAAGAAGAACCTAAGATAGTTATTTTATTTTTTGTTTTTTCATCTAACCAAATCTTAACCATTGCCCAAATTCCACTGAACATCACAGGTACATTAACAATGTACATTCTAATTGAAAATCATAATTAATTACTTTCCAAGAATTTCTGGGTAATTGTTTTAACCAATGTTAGAGGCTAATTAAATAAAGTTGTAAACTTGTTTTGAAACCATCTTCATTGATCCTCCTTTCAAATCTAAGATTGTGAAAGATTATTCAATCTTTGTTCCTTTTGCTTATGAACATGCAGGAAAGATTCTTTTCAGCAACAATTCATAGGATTGAATGTAGTATTTAATTAAACGTTGCTCTGTAGTCACTTCAAACAACTTATTTAATTGAAGCATTCCAATTCTTTCTATATAAATAGGTCTTCCCTTTTATTATAAATTTCAGATTGTACCATTTTATCAGTCTTATGATATCCATGAGGATAATGAGTTCTTACTTATGGTAACTCATCAAACATGTAGGTCTATGGTTAATTGGATCAATACCATAATATTATCAACATCATTTTCTTTTCGCCACTTAATGAAATCATTAAACATTTATTGAGTTTTCCCTAAATCGAATTTTCTGGCTCTTAGAAATCTCAATAGATATGGATCATCATATATTTTCTCGCTCAATCCCATATGGTTTATAATATTTCTAAAATCACTCAAAGCCTTTAATTAAGTCTGATTACAATCCCCTGGAAATCTAGCTTATATAACATATCAAGTTACCCTGTGTAGTCTTTGTCCTTTTTACTCATAATTTAAAGATTTAATTTATAAGAAGACAATATTTGATGTTGTATTTAAAATCAATTATTATAACTAATATAAAATGTATATTCTTATTTTCCATTTATAAATATTCATAAATAAATTGATTGATTATTTCTTACAAAAAAGAATTACAAAAATTGCTATTTTTCTTATGGGATGAAAAAGACCTATTTGTAAGATTTAAATCTAACTCCATAAATGATAAAAACCACTATTTAATTTAAATTTAAGAGAAAAAATCCATTAAACATATCAATTTGGCAGCAAGCAAAAAGAAATAATACAATTTACATTTTTACCAGACAAATTTAAAAAAGTAGATGTTAATTGGATCAAAATATGATAATTTTAACATGTTTATAGTATTCTTATTATTTATAAATAACTTAGGAAATTTTTTAGGTTAAATTCATATGGAGTCATTGTGTTATAAATATATATAATTAATAATGAATAAATTTATAAGGAAAAACTCTTTAAATTAATAATCGTTGAAAGAATAAGAAACAAAAAGGTTGAAACAGTTCATTCTATAAATTGAATAACAGCCATCCTTATATGACTCATTGACAGAGGAATAAATTTTTGGGATTTTGTGTATTATTCTTACTAAATCATCCTATCACAGAACTTAATCAGAAATAGAAATCCTCAAAAAAGCAACCAAACATATTGTTTATTTTCAGAAATTATTAGAAAAAGATTAAGGAGTTTTACTGTGGGAAAGGTGTCTCAGAAAGATGAGTTATACTTATTTATCGTATGGTTAGACATTATTTCATGAAGGTAATGCATTTTAATTATAAAATAGGGGATGTTGGAACAACATTTTATATAATATTACAAGGAAGAGTCAGTATACACAAAAGAATTTTAGTTTAAGATGATTTTTAAGATAAGGAATTAATATAGTTATAAGATGGGTAAGCTTTTGGAGAATTAGCTTTAGAGAATAATGAGCCAAGATCAGCTTCTGTCAAAGCAATCCTTCCAACTCATTTGGCAGTGTTAGAAGCTGAAGATTATATGGTAATTAAGAAAACAGTGGTATATTATTGATATTGAATTTAAGATTAATTAATAAAGACAAATGTACTTTGAAGAATTTGCAAAATTAACTATTTTCAAAAGTTGGAAATTTATGAGCATAAAATCATTATTTGATGTAATAAAATAAAATAAATACGGGCTTAATCATATAATTTATAAAGAAGGAGACCCTTCAAACGATGTTTATTTTATTTCAACTGGATAATTTAAAGTAATTCTTTTCTCACTCAACTCTCTAGGTGATTAAAACTCTTCGTATAAAAAAGAAAGTCTAAGATAATTAAATTGAAGATGATTTAGAGCTCCTTAAAGATTATTTTGCTTATACAAAACCAGTTCTATCGAATTAGGACAAAATAGATATGCTTTATTAAAAAAAGAAATATGGAAACTTGATTGCAGGAGATAAAAAATCAATCATGACGTTAAAGTTTGTTGGGGCTGGAGAAATGTTTGGGGAACTTGAAATCTTAAAGTCGAATGACCTTTGTCGCCAATTTAGTTATGTTTCCACTTTTGAAAGTAATACTGTATATTCAGTTTCAAAAAGAGATTTTTTAAGAGTTCTACAAAATGATTAGCCTCTTTATGAAAGTTTAAATGTTTTGAATGACGATAAATTAAAGTAAGCACTTGGACAGATTAAAGCATATGAGAAAAACTTTATTGATTAAACTGAAAAATAAAATATCCTTTAAAGAACCTAAATAAAAGAATAACTCAATCCTAAACTCTTAACTGATGACGACATCGAAAAGAATGTACTCGTGAAAAACTAAAGTTTATTATGTAAAATTAGCAGCAAAAAAAAATCTATAGATAAAAAAATAAGAGAGCTAACCTTGACTCTTGAGCCTCCTAAAAATGAATCTGATTCTACCACTTTACTTTCTCAACTCTATCTTTCTGAAAGACATAGAAGATAAAAGACTGAACAACAAATTGTTTTAATCTCAAAAAAAACACCTTTAATGAAAAAAAGATCATTTGAAACTAGAATTAAATGTGTAAATACTACCTAACCTTAGGACATACCAAAATTAAATGTCTTTATATGCACAGTTATTACTAAATTGTTTAAAAATTAATAATTAAAAACAGAAAAAACTGAAGAGGACTTATTAAATTATAAATTATAAAAGTCTAACTATAATGAAATAAAGAAGAACCTTGAAATTCTCTCAGATAGCCCAAGATTAATTTAAAAAAAGACTGGAAGTGAAAGCACTCTAAGCAAAAGAATTCATTCCACAACATCAAGATAATAGACTAGTCCAGTTACATCAAGATTCAAACAGATTGATAAAATTACTCCAATTTCATTTAAGACTTAGCTTCCATTTGTTCTATAAAATAAATACTTTGGTTTAACATCTAAAGAACAATGATTTTTTTATAAATTGACAATCACTAGTTCAATAATTTAAATCATGATATATACATAATCCAAACCCTAAGTTCACTTAAATCCATGAAAATCTGATTGATTAACTATTTTCCACATTGACTTTTCTTACTTTATTGTAAATTGTTTAGAGGCAATGGATTACAAAGACATTCTTTTTTTGGTGACGCTACTTAACAGTTTATTATAATAAGCCGGGTTTTACAAATAAGATGATATTGTATTCTTTTTAACATATTTTGCAGATCGAAGGTTAAGTTTAGCAGTTGAGAGTATTTATGTTTCTAAGTAATTATGAAGCTATATATTTTCTTTCATTAATTAATTTTTGCCCTTATTTTATGCCAAACTGAAAGATCTACATCGTATTTCTTGCATGAGATTTTTTGATTCATTCTTTAAGCTATCACATCTTCTCATTATTAATTGGGTTTATCTGTTAAAACATTCTTTCATAAATTAAATTATATACGAGTAAATACAAACAATAATTCAATTATTAATGAGATTAATTAAAAACTAAATTTACATTCTTCTGTTTCTATAAAAATGGTTCATTTTATGCTTTAAGTTAATAGAACCAATCTCATCTCAATTTTAATTTAATTATCAAAATTTTGCTCTTATAAAGATTAATTTGTATCGAAACATATAATTTAACATAATTTTATTTTAATATTCGATACCACTTTAACTAAAAATAATTATTATAAAAATGATTAGTCAATTTTAAACATTATTTTCAAAAAAAATTCCTTCTCAATTCGATGCTTTTATTGTTAATCCCTGATTAACTCCTCCACTAGTTCTTCAGTTTCCTCAGTTATGATTTTCATTTTCTCATTTTTTTGATTGTTTTTAATTTTTGTTTGGAAGATATTGCGAATTGAGTAATTTCGTATTTCATTAGATCCGCTTTGTTAGCATTCCCAGAATGATAAATAGAGTGAAGCTTCTCTAAAAACTTTGAGTTGTGTTTTAAAACCAAACCTAATATATTTATAAGTGAAATTACTTTTTATTTCCTCCTTTTAACTCTGATTTATTAAATTCGTAGATTAAACAGGATTTTTAAAAAACATCATAATAAAATAATTACATAATATACTATGCATAACTCTAAATAGAAAAGCTAAAGCTAAATACAATTAATTTATTGAAATAACTTAATAGTGAATATTATTTCTTTCGATTCTTCAAATTAATGCGTAATTACTATTCATACATGTGTCTATTTCGAATTAACATAAAATTTAATTTATCAATCAATTTTTTTCTTCCTTTTTATCTTATCCAATTGTCCTCTGATTGATGCTTTTAGATTAGAAATTTATTATAATTTGGCATGATATTGAGGCACCATAGAAAAGATTTTTTATATGTATTGAATTTCATCTTGTTATTTTTCTTTTTTTATGAATTCAAGTATCATCCAATATTTACGCCTATTTCAATCTTTTTTAACTATATATAATACATAGATTCTTCACTCTATTATCTTAAAGTTAGTATTCTTTGCTCATCTAATTAGACTAATACTAACTTAAAATCTTCAAAATTCTTAATTTGCTCAATGTCTATGATGGATTATTTTGTTATATTATTTTCCAAAGTTTGGCTTTCTTCTTCTTCATCTTGCTCATTAAATTCACCTTCATGTTCAATTGCTTTATTCATCAGCATATTCTTATAATATATAGATCAGATAATAAAAAAAAAATATTTAATTGATTCACATTTAATCGATTTATTGACTGAGAATATTGAGTTTATCAGTATTCCTTTGCAGATAAACAATTCATTATGATTTAGGATGAATAGTCTCTTGAATAAGCGTAAATAAGGTATATAGAAATAATCAATAATGAATTAAAATGAAATATAACATAAAGTGCATTATCTTTAAATTAATACATTAATTTTCTCTAAATCTTATTTTAACTTTAATAAATCAACTTAATTAACATCACATAAAAATATTTCATCAAGTTACAAGTTATAAA